TCACATATGTTTATAAAAGTAAGAACTGAAATGATTAATCATTCGCAATTGGCGTAAACCTCTTGATATCATTACTTTTACAGAGAGTATAAAATTGTCTTGTATTTTTCAATAGAGTATTGGCGAGAGTACAATTGATCTAAATAGGGTTGTTTTAATAATATTTTTTTAAATATCTTTTAGCTGAACTTTTGTTGTAATTTATTTATAACGATTCTTTTTTTGTAAATTTTAGGTTACATTTATGTAGCAAATGTATTGATTAGTCATTAAATTTACATCATAAAATTATGTGAATTTTTGTTATATACAGAGAAACAGATTCACTAAAAGTTTCACTCAGATTTTTATATTATATTTTACATGATATTGTTTTGAGTAAATTTTGATCATTCTTTTTGTATTTCTTTTATATTTCTTTTATTATTCTATGTAATAAATGTGATTGCCATATATAAGAGAGGGAGAGAAAGGGGGAGGGGGGAGAGAAAGAGAGAGTGAGATAGAGAGAAAAGAGGAGAGGAGGGAGAGGAAGAGAATTACTCATAAGAAATGCAGTCTTTACAAATCGGCTAGTAAAGTTGCTGCCAATTTTACCTGTCTATATCATTAGTAACTCTTGTTTGATATTTGTAGAACTAGTTTATCGATAACATGTTGAAAAATATGATAAAATATAACATTTAGGCACGGGAATAAACACAAATACAACATTGGTGTATATTCTTAAACATAACATTTTATCAAGTTTTGACAAGATGTTTTTTTAACGATATGTTAAGTTTCTTTTATACTGGATTTTTACAATTGTTCATCTTTTAGGTCAGTTAGCTATATATATTATAGTAGTTACACTATTATTATGTTACATATCTATTCTAGCGGTTGTACTACTATAGGATCGCTATCTGTGCTCGTTTTTATAAAATGGTGATGAGGCAGAATATTTTAGAAACTTTAGAATATTTAGTAAAACACGTCAGAGTTTTTCTCTCTCTGGAACGAAAAGATACGCAGATCTCGAACGCATGGCGTCCCGCCGGCACCTAGTATGCCCTTCTCCTTCTATGCTAGAGAGAGAGAGTAACACATCATGTTACTTACATCTACAAATTTCTTTCTTTTAAGCACAACTTGATAGACTTATAACATTATTGTCATCAATATACATCTAATGGAACGATAAGTAAATTAAACAGAAAATATACCCAATAATATATTAATTTACCGTTATAGTGCTTATATTGATTTATAACACTTATAAAGTTTTATACTAAATTTAAATTTGTGCTTGTTTTATACGAACAGGAGATTAAAGAAACACTAAATTTTATCGAAATAATTAGAGCAGTTAGATTACCATATGCAACTCTGAAATTAATTTTTTTTTATTTAATTAGATTCTAATCTTTTTTTTATAATGTATATAAAATGAATATATATATTTTCAAATTTTATCTTGTAAAATATGAGCTTCTAAAGGATAAAGCATTGTAGAAGAAGAAACAAAATAAGAAAAACTTCTTACTTTCCACATTGGAGCTTGTGATTGGTTTTTCATTCAAAAATGCTCCATGGCCTCTTCTGGCCGTGAACAACTGTTCCAAAATGGGATTGTAAACTATACCAATCTCAACTTCCTTATTCACAGCTAATGCGATCGACACGCAAGTGTATGGGAAGGAATGTACAAAGTTTGTTGTTCCATCAATCGGATCGATGATCCATGTAGGATCATTGGTGAGCTCCGGTAGGAAATCGTAACACGATACTGTTTCCTCGCCAATAAACCTAATGGATATGATAACAAGTTTTATTTGATTGCAAAAAAATATGCATGCATATGATATGCGTATACGCATATCATGTATACAGGGTGTCCCGCATAAGACGTCCAAGAAGAAAAATATAAGTAGAACAGATAAAAGTGAACAAATATTTTAGAGGTCATTTTTCAAAAAACCTCGTAACATTCTGAGTTATTAAATAAAATAGATTGGCTAATCAGAGCGCGGCGAGTCTCACCTGCCGCATCGCGCGCTCTTATCCAACAATTTTAATTAATATCTCGAAATTTTACGTGGTTGTTTGAAAAATGACTTCTACAATATTTGTTCACTTTTATTTGTTCTACTTATTATATTTTTATTATATACTGTTCTATTATATACTGTTTTTATTATATACTTGTTCTACTTATTATACTTTTATTATATATTTATTATTATATTTTTCTTCTTGGACGTCTTATGCGGAACATCCTCTACACACACACACACACACACACACACACACACACACACACACACACACACACACACACACACACACACACACA